TTTTTTTTTTTTTTTTTTTTTTTTTTTTTTTTTTTTTTTTTTTTTTTTTTTTTTTTTTTTTTTTTTTTTTTTTTTTTTTTTTTTTTTTTTTTTTTTTTTTTTTTTTTTTTTGTATTTGTATTTGTATATTCCCAAAAGCAAAAGGCTAACATATGTTATTATGACGAAGGATTGTATGCCCTGGGGAAGGTCTACCACCTGAGTTGGTTCAGGACATGTTTCATAGTAGCAGATGGGTGACTCAAGAAGGCTTAGGCTTAAGCATGTGCAGAAAGATATTGAAGCTCATGAATGGTGAAGTCCAGTACATCAGAGAGTCTGAAAGGTGTTATTTCTTGATCACTCTTGAACTCCCCTTGACAGAGAGAGGCCTAAACGACGTCGGTTAGTTTCTTCGACCCCTTACAAACTTCCCCCCCCCATTAACATAAGATACTAGTGTAATTTTCGAGTCATTGTTCATAAGCCGAGCTCTGAACTTACATGTCGTCTAGGCCGTGTGATATAATTAGTAGGCGAATAATAAAGACTATTTTATGTACATCACTTCACTGACCTGCTTGTTCTAGATGAGATGCTGCTAATGCTATTAGGTACTATAGAATTGTCTTTGTTGCTGTTAGAGATTGTTGTATTAGAGGATTTGAAGGTTCTGTTGTGGTTAAGTTGAGTTGCATCTTCATTCCTTTGTTCTTACAATTTCTTCTGTAATATTATTAAGTACTATTTGAGCTGCTGGCTTATAAGAAAGGGAGAATGAATATTTTGAGATTTTAAGTTATTGCTCTGAACAATGAATGGTAATTTTGAAGGGTCTGAAGTAAATTGAATCATGAACTCATCATTGAGTTTATTTTATGTTATTTTTTCTTCTTGTTTGTTTGTTTATTGTTATTTTTTTTAAGAAAAAACTATTTCCAATTGTACGAGTCTCTCTGGGTTAGGTAGTATAAAGTTGGTAAGCTTTTATTTATTTGTTTATTATTATTTGATGGGTGTGTATATCTATTACACCATATTGTATGTCCGAGGCCACCGCTAGTAGATATTGTTTGTTTTGCTCGTTATTTAGGGTTTAGGGTTTAGGGTTAGCCTCAGAGTTTTAAAACGTGTTTATTAGGGTGAGATTTTCTCACTAAGGAATGTTTTATTCTCTTCTTCAACCGATGTGAGATCTCCCAATCTACCCCCATTGGGAGCCAGTGTTCTTGCTGTTTCACCGTTCGATGGCTGCCTCTGATACTATTTGTAACAGCTCGAGGCAATCGCTAGTAAATATTGTTCGCTTTGGCTCGTTACATATCATCGTCAACTTCACAATTTTAAAATGCATCTATTAAAAAGAGATTTACACACAAGAATATTTTATTCTCCTCTCCAACCGATGTAGGATCTCACAAAATGAGTAAAATTTTCGCATTAAGCAGATAAAAATGGAGACCAAAATCCATTCTCTTGGTCCTACAAGATTTTTTTTATAAATATATATATATGTATAATTTCATGAGATATTTTGTATTTCTTCTAATAAAGTTCAAGAATTATCTTCAAATAGTAAATATTCATTGAGAATTAACGATTGAAATGTAATTTTTGTATTAAAAAAAGATTTTGTTTAAAAAAATTTAAAAATCACGAACAAGGAATATTTTTCAATAGGACCTGATCCCTAAGAATTTTCTATAGGGAACTTTATTCAATTCCAAAAAATTAACGGTCAATTTTACCGGGAGAGGGTGGGGATGCTCATTTTTGTCCCCATCCTAACTTCATTTACATCCCTAAATAAATTTGAAATTTGGAAAGAATTAAAAACCAATTAAACAGTGAATAATCATTCCTATAGTCTACAAAATATTTTATGGACAGATTGAAATCCAATATAATGAAGGATAATTGATTCAATCAAGTGGACATTATTCGATATTTAAATCTTATTGAACATTTAATATTTTACTGGATAATTAAATTTGGAGAAGTAGACATTATACCATTTAAATCTTATAAACATTTAATATTTTACTGGATAATTCAATTTGGAGAGGTAGACATTATTCACATTTAAATCTTATCAAACATTTATTACTTACTGAGTATTTAATTTTGAAAAAGTGGACTCAACCATTTTCTTTAATAGAAAAAGTTAGAAATAATTCAATTGATTTAGACATAGACATGTGTGCTCAACCAATGATCTAGATCAATTAGAATTTTAAAAATAGATGGATCACCGCCTATTCATTTAGAAAAAGAGAGAAAGAGAACTAGACCCATAGATAAAACATCGATTGCAATTTTAAGTGTAGAAACTAATCAAACATTTAATATCTTATTGAGTAATTAAACTTTGGGTAACTATACTTCAATTGGTTTAGATACATGTGCTCGATGAATTTGTTTTATTAAAAAAATAAATAACCTAATAAATAAAACATCAATTACAATTAGAAAAAGTTATCAAACATTTAATATCTTATTAGGTAAATAAATTTGGGATAGAAAAATTCGAGCATGGTTCAATTGGTTTAGATACATGTATTCGATAAATCTGTTCCACTAAAAACACTAAACCAATAGATAAAATATCGATTAAATCTTATCTTATCGGTAGGTGCTCGCGTAGCCCTGACAGACATACACAAGCAAAGTGGGTCACTAGGGGATCATGAAAACCATGAAGTGTGTATTGGAATGATGACTTTCCACAAATCTAACCCATGCATAATTGGGTCTATGAATAATTCAAAGAAAACTGAGAGTCCGTGCCTCGGATGGGACCAAGTGGGGCATTGGAGGAGGACTTTTTGTGCAAATACAGGAAAATGGATGGATGTGTGCTGTAAAATCGGTTAGCAGATGAGAGGTGGAGCCAAGGAAATTAAGGAACTCAACGGCCCCTAAGTTGAAAATTTAGGCATTTCATTATAAGTTTTAAAGAGTGTCCCAACCAACTAAAACAGTCAAACAAGAGGAGTCTCAACTGCATGCATTAATGTTGTTCCCCTGCCTGCACTTCTCTCGCTATAAATACTAACAATATCTCTACAATGCATTATTGTGCATTCAAAAAGTGAGCTCTACTCTTTCTAACTTAAAAATAAGGAGTATGGCCAAACTTACATACAAGGTTGGAGCCTTGGCTCTTGTTCTGGCATTTCTGATTGTGGGATTTGCTGAAAGCCGGAAGTTGGAGAAGGAGACGCTTGGTGGTGGTCTTGGCGGTGGTGCTGGTGGTGGGTTTGGAGGTGGAGCTGGAGGTGGAGCTGGAGGTGGCCTTGGTGGTGGTTTCGGAGGTGGGCATGGCGGTGGATTAGGAGGCGGAGCTGGAGGAGGAGCTGGAGGCGGATTCGGAGGTGGCCATGGCGGCGGAATTGGAGGGGGAGGTGGATTAGGAGGCGGAGCTGGAGGTGGATTTGGTGGCGGTAAAGGAGGTGGATTTGGAGGTGGAGCTGGTGGCGGAGCGGGAGGTGGTTTTGGAGGCGGAGCTGGCGGGGGAGCGGGAGGTGGAGCTGGAGGCGGAGCAGGAGGTGGGTTCGGAGGTGGTAAAGGAGGTGGATTTGGAGGCGGAGCAGGAGGTGGCCATGGAGGCGGAGCGGGAGGTGGATTTGGAGGCGGAGCTGGTGGAGGAGCGGGAGGGGGCTTTGGAGGCGGAGCTGGCGGGGGAGCGGGAGGTGGTTTCGGAGGAGGCCATGGGGGCGGAGCAGGAGGAGGTTTTGGAGGTGGTAAAGGAGGTGGATTTGGAGGCGGAGCAGGTGGAGGCTTTGGTGGCGGTTCAGGTGGAGGAGGAGGCTTTGGTGGCGGTTCAGGTGGAGGATTCGGCGGCAGAGTCTAAAATCAGACTACATCAAATATGATGTTAAAAAGGGAGTAGATATAGATTACTCCTAAAGTCCTGGAAATTTTCCCAATATATTTACAAAAACTAATATGCATGCACCCACCAGAAACATGCTCATGCAAAGACTACTACTTATTTGTACTTCCAATTCTACGTAATAAGATAACCAGAAAAAGATTTAAAAAAGAAAAAAAAGAAGAATTTGAATTCAATATTTCGTCTCATTGGACAAATAGTTTTAAGAATCTTTGCGAAATAGCTTGCAAAAAGAACCCGAATAGACCGTAAATTTATAAAAATAAAGTGGGGAAGGACTAGCGAGAGGAGTGAATTAGCTTAGCCTTTTTTTGTTTTGCTTATAGCCACGCAGGAAGCCAATCGGCCCCTTCAATAAAGCTGATGTCCATGAACTGGGCAGCTTCCTTTTCCGTTAGCTGTTTGGCCCATGGTGCTCGGTTTCCCTTTTCTGCTCCTGGTCCATGGCAATCATATTCTGAATGATACAGATTCCTGTAATGACAAAAACGTTTAGTTCAAGTAATTATGGACCTTTTAAAAACTAGTTCAAGTTGAAAATTGTTGGGAGAGAGTTTTACGTTGACTAATTTAGAAGAGTATGATCATGAATTTATAAATAAGAAATATATCTTAATTGGCATGAGGCCGTTTGGAAAAACAAATAACAAAGTCAGAGAGTGTATGTTCAAAGAGGAAAATATCATACTATTATGCAAGTTCGTGATTCTTAATAGTTCAGTAAACGGCTAAATCAAACATAATTCAACTAGTTAAAGACTAGTTCATGTTGAGAATTGTTGAGAGGGAGTCTCGCATTGGCTAATTTAGAGGATCGATCATGGGTTTAAGTAAGGAATATATCTAGTAAACGGCTAAATCAAAAATAATTAAACTAGTTAAAGACTAGTTCATGTTGAGAATTGTTGAGAGGGGAGTCTCACATTGGCTAATTTAGTGGATCGATCATGGGTTTAAGTAAGAAATATATCTCCTTTTAAGAAAACAAACCCTGAGAAATTATGTTCAAAGTGGACCATATCATAGCATGGAAAAGGTCCTTGATTCCTAACCATTTAGTTTTAGTAATTATAAACGCGGGGGAGGGAGTGCTTACTCTGTGCCACCAGCATAGCTCCAATTGGTCCAACCAGCAGGAAGAACAGTCATGGAGAAGTAAGTCTTAGCAAAAACGACTCTGGAAAATGCACCTTTTGCTCTCCCCAAATACACACCGCCTATTCCGTAAACCTTTCCTCTGATGAAAACAAACCCGCTGTTCTCATCTGCACTTTTTCTGTTTTGTGCTGTGACTGAACCACGGACCGTCAATCTCTTGTCATCAATCACAAATATCTCACAATTCTGCATCCACAGCAACAATATAACATCGTTTTTCATGGAAAATCATCACATCCCACCAAGAAAAATGAAAGAAAGATTAGACTATAATGAAATTACTTGGTTACATGAGCTTCTAAATTCTTAAGTTTACCTGTTTTTAACATACTATATTTTTCCTGAAGTAAATAAGAATCGGAGATCTCTATTAACATGTATACGGTTAGAAATGAAATTAAGGATCTCTACAATGGTACGATATTGTCCACTTTAAGCATATAAGTTTTCATGACTTTGCTTTAAGCTTTCCAAAAGACCTTATACTAATGGAGATGTATTCCTTACTTATAAACTCATGATCCCCAACCATCCTCCCCTCAAACAAAGTACACTGTAGAGCCTCCCCTAAGGCCTTGGAGCCCTCGAACAGCCTCCTCTTAATCGAGACTCGACTCCTTTTTTAGAGTCCTCGAACAAAGTACACCCTTTGTTCAACACTCACTTTTGACTACACCTTCAAGGCTCATAACTTTTCCACATTTTAGGATTCTATTGACATGACTAAGTTAAGGACGTGGCTCATAACTTCTTTGTTCGACATTTTAGGATTCTATTGACATGACTAAGTTAAGGACGTGATTCATATATCATGTTAGGAATCACGGATCTCCACAATGGTATGATATTGTCTACTTTGAGCATAAGCTCTCATGACTTTGCTTTAGGCTTCCCAAAATACCTCATACCAATGAAAATGTATTCCTTGCTTATAAACTATGATCATTCCCTAAACTAGTCAACGTAGGACTCCCTCTCAACAATTCTCGTCATGCTTCAATTTTTATCTTCTAACTTAACCAAAAAAATTTAGTTGTCTAAAATTGATGTTTGAAAACTATTTATAAGTTTAAGTTTTGAAAACATTACAAGAAAGTGAAGAACAAACATGGAAAGAGCAAGAATAACGTTTATAAATTTAGCTTTAAGAAACTAAAAACCAAAATTCAAAAATGAAATATGAAACGGTTATTAAGAAAACTGTAAATGTTCCATGCATAAAACACAAAGGTATTCTAAATTCTTCAGAGAGCAAGCAACAGTAGAGAAAGGAAGGGAAAAGAATTACATGGAAAACGGATTTGCCGCGGCCAAAGATGAAATCAATTGAGCCTTGAATGTAGCAACCGTCATAATAATGTCTGCCTTTGTAATCGAACAGCGTATTGTGAGTGCTGTAGAATCCACAATGGTAAAATGCGACATTATCTGCGGCAACGAATGCCGCTACCGACTGATTTTGCGATGTGTAAGCCACACCAGTCGGAGCCTCATTCTGTATAGGAAAATTTCCAGAAGAAATAACGAAAAAAGAGAGAAATCAATGGAATAACTGAATACATTTTGAGGCTAATTTAGGCAAAAATAACCAAAGGAATCGAGAAATATGTTGGACCTTGAAGCTAATTCCAAAAGCAATGAAATGCTTGGCTTCGACTTTAAAAGTAGCAGATTCAATGTTATCATTAGAGCTCTGTGACCAAACGATGTGCGTCCTTCCTTTTCCGTTTCCTCTCAAGAAGACGTACGGCTTACTCGACGGAACATGAACCTTCTCTCTACAGAGCCAAGAACACGCACTCTTTCGTCAATTAAAAACAGAAACGAACAATTTATCACATCATGTAACAATCCGGAAGAGAAAATGCTAGAAATCACCTGTAAATTCCTTTCCTAACATGGATGATCATCCACTGCGAATTCCCCTCCGGAACAGCATCGACTGCAGCTTGAATGGACGTGAATTCGCCATTTCCGTTGATATCAACCTTAATCGTGCGATTTGTGGCGATCTTCTTCGTCAACAATGGCGAATTGATCACATTTTGCGCAGTAAAGCCGTAAGAACCGATCGGAGATGAGATTAACAGAGCAAAAGCGATTGCGAATGCAATGTGAATCGGTTTGCATAGGGAATTCGAGGATGAATCAGCCATGATTTTGGAGATGGAAGAGAACGATTCTTGAGGAATGAAACGAAATGATTCGGAATTTGGAAGATTGAGGAATGAGATTTAATATGGAAGGTTAGAGAAATAAAGTGGGAAATTGTTGGTTGGAAAGGATTCTCCAATTTTGGAGGGCTTTTTAACGGTTTATTTTAGTGGTTCAAAATGCAATTATTAATTTCTTTTTTTCTTTTTTAATCAATTAGTTTTCAAGAAATTAGCCTTCCAAAAATAATCAATGTAATTAACATTTGTAATTTGTTACATGCATAAAATATAACTAATTTTTTAATTAAAAAATATATATTATGTATTACCAAACTTTACAATAATCCCTAATATTTAGGGGTTAAAACCATTACAATTCCAATTCTAATATTTTTCTTTACTTATTTAGAGAAGAATTAAAAAGAATAATAGTATTCATATAATTTTAAATTTATTTTAAATGAAATTGAGTGATTCTTCATGGTGTCAACTATGCTTCTGGTTCAGATGGAATCTTCAATAACACTGGAAAAATCTTGGTAAGTTCCTGCAGTAACCAGTTAAGCATGTTTTTCTATGCGAAAATCATGGATGGAATGCATATTTTCATGCCTTCTTTCTTATGTTGCGAGGTGCGAGGAAAATGAAGCATCCCTTATAAGTGTGTAGAAACCTCTACTTAGTAGATGTATTTTTAAATCGTGATGCTGACGGCGATACGTAACGGGCCAAAACTGACAATATCTACTAGTGGTAGGCTTAGACGGTTACAAATGGTATCAGAGCCAGACATCGGGCGGTGTGCCAGCTAGCTTCCAAGGGGTGGATTGTGAGGTCTCATATCAGTTGTAGGAGAGAATGAAGTATTAAACCCGTGAGACCTCTCCTTAGTAGACACGTCTTAAACCTGTGAGACTAACGACGATATGTAACCGACTAAAATAGTCAATATTTACTAGCAGTGAGCTTAGACTGTTACATATCTAACATATGTAGTTGTGATGATATTGTATTTGTGTTGGAAAGCTTGCTCGAATCAAATGGTTGCACAAGTCAATAACTTTGCAAACAACAGACAAGATATCATCGACATGATTGGCCTTCCTGCTGCCATGGATTTGCTTAGAACTTCCATGTTCTCCATAACCATTGGCTCAAATGACTTCATTAATAACACCGGTTGATTCCTCCAGAGTTGTTTGCTGGCTCCATGATTTCGAGTTACAGACTCCAACTCACAGTAATAACACTCTTTCTTCGTTACTTCACTGAAATCATGTTGATTCTTTTCCATTACTTCGTTCGAAAATAGTTCTGAAAAAGTATCCGAATCACTTGCAGTGACTCTACAATCTAGGAGCCAGAAACATCGTAGTGGTAAACGTCGGACCAATCGGATGCATTCCATATCAGAGAGATTCAAATCCTTCATTAGGAAGCAACTGTGCAAATTCCCCTAACCTAATGGCTCAGTTATTCAACAACCAATTGAGAGGTCTAATCACAGAGCTCGGAGCTCAATTTCAGAATTCGAATTTCCTTTATGCAAATGCGTTTCACATCGTTCAAGATATAGTTCAGAATCACGCATCATACGGTAAGAAAAGAACGTCGAATAAAGCATTTTCATAGAGATAATTTGTCGAATACCTGCACTTCACATATTGAAAGCTTCATTCGCTGCAATGTACAGGGTTTGAGAATGCCGACTCGGCGTGCTGCCACATCGCCGGACGGTACGGCGGTCTTTTTCCCTGTGGACCGCCGTCGAGAGTGTGCGTAGACAGGTCGAAGTACGTGTTTTGGGATTCATTTCATCCTTCTG